CAATTGTTCAGCGGCGCTTACATTTATACAATTTCTCCATTAACACACATGTCCGTTTTTCATGCATATACATATGTACTTATATACTTGGCTGTGTATCTTTGTATGTTCATAGCTGTAAGCGCAAGAAAAAAGGCAAACAAATTAAAAAAAAAAAAAAATATTTTAAGGCATAAAAAATTGTATTGACATAGAAACGATTTACCAAGTTATCCACTCATGCACGGCTGCCGCAGTCTGAGCCACATACATATGTGTAGTATACATATGTGTGTTTGCTACATACGGCAGCAATTAACTCACTTTCCGCATTTGTTGCAACGCGCCGATGAGAAAAAGCAGAAACGTTTTTTTTTTTTACTTTTTTTCGAATGAAAGCATCCACTCCGCCTCCAATGGGATGCCTGCCAGCGCGGCAGCCAAGAGGCAACAACGGAAACGGTGAATTTAAATTGCCTCTTTAAATAAAAAATAAATACATGCATGCATGCAGCTAGCGAGGGAGGCAACAACTACGAGAAGCTGAAAAAAACGTAGCATACATTTTGGCACAATAATTTGTATTCTTACTTTTCATTTTTATTTCATTCCAACAAAAAAAATTGCGCAGGCTGACAAAAGTGCTTTAATTAACTGTTTTTAACTTCAGCGCAATGCGAAAAAATAGGCAGTAAAAAACGATTGAAAAAACAAAATGTATGAAACAGTAAAAAGTTCCTCCAATTTAATTGATGTCGCCGGCAACACTTTGTCACACTCGCGCTTAGTGGCTTTTGTTTGGGCAAAAAAAAAATGTATAAAAAAACGAAAAATTGCAAACAATTGCAAATTTTGAAATATGTACTTCTATTTACAAAAAATGCAGTAACTAAAAATATGCTTTAATTTTTTTTTTTGTACAAAAGTGCCACTAAGCATTGCTGCATAAACGCTTTGCACTCCTCTGACGCATGTATGTGCCACAGTCCCACTTTTGTTCATGCTTTTTTATTTATTACTTGTCTATTTAAAGTTTTTACTTTCTATTTTTAAAAATTACAATTTCGCACTTTTATTTGTTTGCCGCGCTCGTTAAAAATGCATGCGGCGTATGGCCTAAAGCGCTGTCGCATGCAAAACCAGTGCAGTTATATAGTCGCATGTAGGCGCAATGCAGTACGGATGGCCCCTGTCTTGTTAATATGTATGTATGTATGTATGTATGCAAACATACACACATTTGTGCAATTTTTACATATAACCCAGTGCATTTAATTATTCACTGCGTTTTTTGCTGAATATTCTGAATATTTTCTCTGTCGTTTCGATAAACTCCCCCACAATTGAATTTTAATGTTTTTTGCGCATGCAGATTTTTTTTGCCATCAACTGTTTTTATGTTTTTTTCTTTTATAAACTTAATTGACGCGACGTTAATGAGTTTTAATATCCATTTTCTTGCATATTATTTTGTTCGTGATATTTTAAACTATGTTATTTTTATAGCTCTAATTAGATTTTTTCACCATAAGTTTTTGCTTACCAGCGCTTAATTGTTTTAATTAAATTTCTGCCTTTTTTGGTCTCCACTTATCTTTTTATAATTAAAATGAAAATGTTGCAAATTTTTGTTATGATTAAAAATAGGTTTTGCTATTTTTTTTTAGTAATTTTACACCTTTTTTCTGTTGAAAATTTCAATATTCTAATTTATTTAGTTATTTTTTATTGTGGATAAAATTTTTAATGGTGTAAAAAATAGACATTTGGTCACGAACTAAGTGACTTTTGTGAAACGAAGCAATAATTTTAGACAAAAATTATCCCTAAAATTTAATATGCTAATTTAAGCTTTTTCTGAGTATGTACTCACAAAGTTCAAATGCCGTTAAAATAATTTAGAAAAAGTTTAAAAAGTGTGAAATATTAATTTAAAATTGCGCTTCCCGTATATTTCCGTCTGAAAAAATGATAAAAATGTTTATAATTTAAGCACCTTCAGGAAATTATGATTATAAAAGCACTTCTGTACTTGGAATACACAAAATTGGTACCGAACTAAAATCGGCAGAAATTTGATTAAATTTTTTAAAATCTGTTTTTATTTGAAAATTATTTATTTACACTGTTATTTAAATGTTATTCTGGCATTTTATTGTTTTTTCTTCTCTTGTATATTTTTGTTTTTATTTGAAAATTATTTTTAAATTTATTATTTTTATTTATGTATTTTATATTATTTTGCTTTTTATTTTATTTTGACTTGTTTCATTTTATTTTATTTTGATTCATTAACCGACTTCAAAAAAAGGAGGAGATTATCAACTCATCGGAATTGCTTTTATGTATGTTACCGGATAAGTTAAGACTATTTTTATATATTTATTTTTTTATCGGAAAGTTGGTACCTCAAGGTGGTGTCATGCTAATTTGGTTTACGATATTAAGAATTTAAGACGGTTATTTTTGTGCTTAAAAAATACTTGTATTTTATGTATTTAACTTAATTATATGTAGTATTATATATTATATTTTTTTTGTTTGTCTTTATTTTATTTTATTTTATCTTATTTTAATTTAATATATAATTTTTATTTCTTTTGTTTATAATAGATTACAATTTAATTGCTAAATTGGATTTTTATTTTTTTCGATCACTATTAACCGCTTTTTTACGCTTTTATATTTACGATCCAGAATATTAGTTATCTTTGGATTAATATTTTTTCGATAAATTTTGATCGTTATTCTCGAATTTTGCTTTTTCGGTCATATGAAGGCATATGAAATACGTAGAAAAACAAGATTTACGTATATTTTGTTGATGCTTCTGGTATCTAAATAATATTCAAACATTTTATGAAATAACGATTACTTTTTATTGAAAAATAAAAACGACAAAACAGCGGTCAAATTTGACCGAAAACAATCGAATTTTGTTTAATGCTTTTAATTTATTTTAATCTATTATTTTCTTTTTTTTTCTTTTACATTTTTAAACTTTTTAATAAGTTTTTATATTTAATTACCAAAATTTACTCATATAACGTCTTCTTTTTTAATTTGTCGTCTGCTAGAATGATAGAAATTCTAATTTTGTGCATTTTACTTCATTAAACATTTTTTGGTAAAATTTTTGTTGATAAGATAAAAATGTTTATTATAAAAACTTATATTTTTTTATTAAATTGTTCAAAAAATACGTCACATGGTAACTATACAAACCACTTTTTTAGTTCATTTAAACTTAATTGTAACCTACAAAAATTATTAAAAAATTTGAATAAAGCGCGCTTTCATATTTTTTGTATGTAATAGGTAAACACTAAAAAGTCTATAAAAAGAATCTAACTGAATTGTTTACTACTGCATTCAGCCTTTCTTAAAAAGAAAATTTCATTAAAAGTCAATGTATTTCAGTTGCATACTTTCGGCATATTTATCCTCCGGAGGGTAACACGATTCCGCTGTCCTACCCAAAGGGGTATTTATACTCTTTGCCACTGCCACTGCTGCCACTTCATTACGTATGCAACCAACCAATTCATGCTGGGGCATTTTTCATTAAACTGCTCAATTATCCCCAATGAACGAATATAATTTTTAAAATACCATAATTTATGCAACAGTTTATTTTTTCCTCTGTGCCATGCTTCTTTCTTTGGCTTTCGCTATCGGCGTGTGTGTTGGTTTGCTGCTTGAGCGCGCGCCACTCTGTTAAATAATTGTGCTCAAAGCTTTTGTACATTTTTCTGCGCTTAAGAGTTGGAGGGTAGGGTAGGGTGGTTTACTTTTGGGTGAGTAAAATGTGATGAGCTTGGATAATTTCGAAGTTAAACGAGTGATTAAATTGGCATGCTTTTAAGGGTAAAAATATTTCGAATGGAAAAATACGCATACCTAAAACATTTGCTCAAATATGTATGTAGCGCAAAATGATTTTATATTTGGAAAAGTATATATTTGTATCGATATATTTCTTGTTAGATATCGTTATAGATTTATTTTTCATAAATATTTGTGCACTGTAACATGCTTACCGAAATAGTTATCGATATATATGTATGTGTATCGAAACATTTATCGATATATTTATCGCAATGACCATACGATCGATAAAAATTCTGAAATGATTTTATTTTCGAAATATTAGTCTGAGAACGAACTATCGATAAATTTATCGATACTTATCGATATGAATGTAGTTATGATATATTAATACTTTGAATTAGTGATATACATAATTGTCGATAAAACCATAAGTGATATCGTCAATATCGCGATATTATTGTAACTACGTATATCGTTATCTTATTTTAAAACTAGAACCGGTTTATTATATTTTGAAGCCACCGGTTTATTATATGCACACATACGCATTTGAGTTTAAGTTTTAAACCGTCTAGTTATACTTGCCGCATTCTCTGTGGTCTTCTCCCTCTCGTTTACCGTAACCTAATTAGATCGGTGGCAATAACAATTCTTACTTTTGTAGTTTTATCATCTTTTTATTCTAGTTTTTTATGCAATTATTTGCTTAACGCAAATAATTCTAATTAATTTCAAATATTTTTGCCGTAGTACATTTCTCTTTCTTCTTCTTCTACCCAGCCCTCTATTGTACTCCTCTTCGTCGCTAATTTTTTCGTAGTGACAACCCAACAAAATTTAAAATGCAGATTTTTGAGTTTGTTTATTGCTCATTTTGATTTAATATTTTTTCATTTATTTCAATTTTTCGTTTATGCCTATTTTTCTACACTTTTTAACTTTTCTAAATCTAGTCTTGAGTACATTTGATTTTAATTAAGTAACTACTTAAATTCGTTTGGTTTTTTGCGCTTTATTTTATACGCTGATATATTTTGAGCAACGACTTTGCGCTTTTCATCTTTAATGTTCTTAAAACTAAAACCAGCTATCTACTCTGTAGTTGCTTAGTAATCGACTTTTTTAATTTCAGAAATTCGTACTAATGAATTTCTATGCGTTTTGAATCAACACTTTCCTTCTTGTTTGATTTCTTCATTACCACTCAATTTCATCACAACTCTTCTTTGCTTTTCCCTTTCTTAATCCACAATCTTCTTCTCCGTTGCTTTTTCGCGCTTACTCTCGCCTATTCCACTTGCAGCACCTCCATTTCCGCCTCCACCATTAGCGCCACCACTCTCACCACGCTTGCTAGCCGCCTCTACCGCAGCTGCCGCTTCCTCCTCGGCGTGACACATTTTCCGGTGCTTGTGTACAAAGTAGTAGCTGGGAAATTTACTGCCACACGTCTTGCAGGGATAGTATTGCACGTTCATGTCCAGGGGGCGCACCTCCCGTCGTAGCAGCTCACTTGCGCCTTGTTTGCTGGTCACAATCGGCAGTGCCACACCGATGCTTTGTGTCAAATTGAAACCACCATTTGCGCCACCGCCACCACCACCGGCCGCTGACTTAGCGGATGCCGTTATTTTCTCATCAACATCTGGCCCGCCACCTAGATTAGCCGCCGCCGCTGCCGCTGCTGCAGCGCAATTCAGACTTAGCGGGTTGAGATGTCGCTTGGCGTGCTTCTGATAGCAGTACTGCGACTTGAAGGTGTGCTTACAGTATACACAAACGTATATCTCATTTGAGGCATTCTTACTATGCTTGCCACTGCTGCCGCTGGCACCTGCCGAATTTCCACCGCCGCCGCCACCACTAGACTCACTATTCTCCGACTCTTCGTTGGCTGTGACCAGCTGCCGCTGCTGACTGATTGCCTTCGCCATTTGTTGGTGAAAGGAAAGCGAAACGCTTTGCTGCGTACGCTCTGGCATAACAGCGTAGTCCTCGGGCTTGTGACCATAGGCTGTATTGAGTATACGCCTAAAACGCACTGGTCCATCGCAGCTCGCGACATCGATGATGACTTTGGAGCTTTCGTTGTTGTCTAGCTGTGAAGCGGGTATGGGTGCTTTGGCAACTTGCAGCCCAGACGCGCGTGAACCACCTGACTTGTGGTGATGCGTGCGCGTTTGCTTACGCCGTTCACGCTTACTTGTATTTGGTGTGGATGTATTGCCAATAGCTGCAGCTGGTTTACTGCGCGCTGCACGCGTGATTTCTCGGTCGCGCTCAGCGCGCGCCTTTGCCAGTGGTACGGGCGGCTCGGCGACGGTGATGACAATTTCACGTTCCGTGCTGCTTTCATGCGGCTGCTTATTTTTACAGCTGGCGGGCTGCTGCGATGAGTGCGATGTCACCGAAATGGCGCAGTCGAGCTCACCATCGAAATCAGAGTCAGTGTTGTTATCAATGAAAACTTCCACATCCTCATCGTCGTCATCAACGTGCGAGTTTCGCGCGGAAGGCTCGCGGTCAACGTCAATTTCAGTGCTGTTAGACGCGCGTGACTCAGCGCCACACCTATTGTGTGCGGCTAAAAGCGGTCCGCTGCCGTACGCTTGCTGCAGCTGCTTGAAGGTGTCATTGGTGTTGGCCGCCAAAGCGGCTTGTGGCAGCGGCAGCTGATGTGTTGCGGTGAGCGGCAGAAAGCCAAAGCTCGGAACTGTTGGCTTGCTTGGTATGGGACGTATGATTTTCGAACTCGAATTAGCGGCGATAGGCGGCTGGCCGCCCATAGAATTGCTGGCTAGATAGCCCTCAGTTTGAGCGCGCGCTAAAAAAGAGCTGAAATGGAGATAATCGAGACGATAATTAGTAAGCCATCGGGCGCTTTTACTTTTCAAATTAACTAACGTTTCATTTCACTACAGCCGAGACTAAAACTTACCGACAAATTTCCAATGCGCGCGGCATATGCAACACATGCGTCGCCAGCAGCACACCAAATATATTCTCCACATTCAAGTCCAAGTAACCGGTGTACATGTAGGTGAGCAGCGGAGCAAATTGCTCCGCGGTCACATTGCCCAAATATAAAATGAGCTCGTTGCCTGTGCCCGCTATGCCGGCATTCTCGTCTAGCCGTATGGCAGAACGTAAGTAGCCGCTGTGCATGCCTAACACAATGCTGTGAGCAACAAAACGCGCACTAGCCGGCCCAGGCGGACCCACCTCGAGTACCACATCGGGCGGTGTAGTCATAATACTGGACGCTACAGAGCTAGCAGCCGCAGCAGCAGCGGCGGCGGCTGCAACACTGCCAACGGTGGCGGGTAACACAGCAGTTTCTGTATTATTCGATGCTGCGTTGGCGGTACTATTGTTGCTGCTAGACGGTGCGCTGTTACCGTTGGTGTGGTCATTACGCGGCGTGCCACCGCCTGTGGTGCCCGTTAGCCAATTAGTGAACATTTTCACGACTCACAACAACCGCGGCTGACGCAAATCCTTTTGTGTGTGCTCAAATGTTGATTGCAAAAAAAAACTATTTCCAAGAATAAACTGTTAATCCTTTTGTTTGTGCGAAGTGAAGTCTGTCGAGTACCTTGCTGGTATCAAATTTTTAATTAACCAATTAGCATTGTAGTTGTACCACGCCAAAGTCTGTCTAGTACCGTACGCGTCCGAAACTCGGTTTGAACTGATTTATGACCGTAATTGCGCGCGCGTATTTATAGCCAAAAGACGAAAGCATACATTCAGGCGAACAAGCAAGCAATATCCTCACTGACTCGCTGACTGGTTGGTTGGTTGGTCGGCAACGTAGTTGATCATCGTCATCAACATTCAGTTATGTTGCTCAGTCGGCGGCCAGCAGTTATTCGTGTTGTCCTCTGTCGCCCTTTCGGGTTGTAAGTGTGTTTGCCTGTGTGAGTGAATGTCGCTGCGCGCGTACGCTTATTTTACTGTTTTAATTGGTGTCCCCTTTGGTTTTCACAATGCAAACGCTTACAAACACACTCACAAATGCTTATTCATTGCGCCCTGCACTCGCCGCTGGGCATCTCACTTACTCATTCCCAAAGTAGACTACATACATACATACATTCATATTAGCGCGAGTGTAAATTTTCATATTTTCGGCCAATTTGTAGGATTAACTGCCGGCTGTTGTTGACTGGAGCTTGTGTTCATGTGGCTGTGTTTGTCCATGTTTGCAGGTGAGCAATGTTGTTCTCACATGTAAACAGAGAGGCTGTGGTTGCGGTTGAGTCGCTTGGCAGAGCGGAAAGTTTGAGTGGGTTCGGAATTGAGTGAGATAAATGTTAACCGAGAGACGAAATTTACGAGTTAAGTGGTTGCACAACTGTATTTTTGATATTTCACTCTAAAACGTATATCTTTTGGAATGCAGAAGTGAAAAATAGAACTTTTAGAGCATTTTTAAGAAGATTAGGAGGTTTTATAAATAAATTTTAGAAAATTTGTTCCCACTTCTGTTACATATGTAGTGCGAAATGTATGAGTGTGAACTGTTGCATCTTTTTGGGCGCACTATACAGCACTGGAAAATTCGTTGAGAATTTAGTTTAGTAAGTCGAAACGCTATTTTTTCAGTTAAAAATTGTCCTGGTTGTTGAAAGTTTTGCTAATGTTGAAAGATGTTATGTACAAACTCCTTAGTTCTCAACTTAACCTCAAGTTATTGTAAAACCAAAGATTTTTTTGTTATATTGCTTTTTAGCAATTTTTTCTGTTTAGAGTTTATTACTTATGATTTAATTTTGTAAATTTCCTACCAAATATTTGGTCATATATTTTATCACAAACTCCAAGTTTTCGCTCTCTCTTCGGAAATTATCCTCCTTTTCGAGTGTTTTCTACCGTCGCAAAATCTCTCTCCCTGTCTCTATATATCACTCTCTCACTTTCACCACTACACAAACACACCCCCTACGCAGTGTTAGTTTTGTTTACTTTTAATTGCCTTAAATAACTGCATCACTTTAATCCAATTTGCATACAATCATTCAACTGCATGCGGCTATGTGCTTCATTCTCTATTTGCCATAGGTTGCATGCGTTTTTTTTTTCTACAGTTTGATGTTTATATGTAGTTTTTCGTACTCCACTCGGCTGCGCGGTAGTTTTTTTCTTGTAATTTTTTTCTCCCAAACTTTTTTTCATGCCTACTGCGCGCTGCTATCTTTTTCTTACGCGAGTTTGCCTGTGCAGCTTCCCTTTCCATCGTTTCCTTGCTACGTACGCACGCCTGGCCAGGCCAATTAGCGTGAGGGCGCTATTGTTGTATGGCGCGTGTTAAACGCCTTGGCTTATGCTACAACAAAAGTAGTTATGGCGCGCGTCGGTGTTGATGATGTGCTGCTGCGTGCTGCCTCCACCGCTCACTGACTGCCATTATTTGTCAAGTGCCAGCTGGCTCTTCAGCCACCCACGCTCGTTATTATTGCCTCTGCTGGGCGACGCAATGGGGCTGCTTTTGTCGAGTTGTCAATTTTACAAAGATTTTTTATTTTTTTATATTTTTTTGTCTTTGATTTTGCTTTTTGCTGGTGGTAGTTGATGGTTTTGGCTGGATTCGCCTTTCAATTGCCTTAATTGATTTGTTGTGCGCTCATTTTGCTTGTGTTATCGAAAATCGCTTATCGGGGTAAGCGCAAAGTGCACGTCCTATTTCACTTTTTTCTCTTTTTACTTTGTAGCTTTTTCGTATGAGTCGTACTTGCCTTGTGTGGTTGGCTTTCAGGCACACTTTCTTTTGCAATCTATGTGTGTAGGTAGGCAAGTATAGTATACGTTGACTAATGTGGCTAGTTTGCTCTTTTTGTCGGCAATTGCAGCTTTGGGCATTGTACTGCGGCGGCCTTACTTGCTGTTCTTATTCAAATTATCGTAAGATACAAGTAAACCGAAAATCTATTGGCCTTTTTTATTTTTATTTGCTATGGGTTTTTATATTCCTTTCTCGCTTCATATCGCATTCATGTGCTATTTGAATCAGCTTGAGTTGCTTTTAATTACTCTTTGCTGTGGCTTGAGTTTGGTTTTCGTTTGTTCATGTCTTGGTCAATCCCCTTGGTGTCATTTTATTTACACTAGTCATGCTTGTTTACTTTTTGGTTGCTGGTTTTTTAGCTTCAGTAACTGTCGTGCGTTCGTTGATTTGCTATTTGTAAATTAGTGTCCCTTACATGCCCCTTTTGACAGCTCAAATAGCCATAAAGGTTTTTGATGTCTAATCTTCTCATCTGATTCTGACTAAATTGAATTGGTGAACGAATTGTGTACAACATGAGATAGGCGGTGAAAATGTGTTGTACCTAATTAAGTACAATGCTATTTGCTCATGTTTTGTGAATCATTTTTTTGGTAAAAATTTATCTGATAATTTTTACAAATGAGTTTGTTAATTTATTGGCCTAAGAATGTGTCTAGTTAAAAGTACACACAAAAAAAAAATAAAAATAAAAGAAAAAATCAATCATTTTATAACAATTTATTTTTTGAGCGTAAGCTCTGAAAATCTGAAAAATTAATCTTAAAAAGCATGCATTCCTTAAGATTTTTCGACCCTGCACACAAAAGTGAGGTTTTATTCAAATGTCATCTAACCAAAGGCAAGCCAATTACGGCCCGTTATTCGGAGTTAATTTCTATATACGTAATTCGTTGGTACATTTTTATAACACTTTTTACCATTTTTTTAAATAAAATTAATTTAAATTAATTTATTTAAATCAAATTTATTTTAATGAATATAAATTTAATTTGTCTAATATAATTTAATTTATTTAATGTAATTTGATTTGTTTAGTTTAATTATATTTTTGTTAGTTTTATTTAAACTGAATTTAATTTGTTTTCACTTCATTTTTTAAATTTTGTTTTCACTCAATTTTTTAAATTTTGTTTTCACTTCATTTTTTTAAATTTTGTTAAAATTTTTTTTTAATTATATATTTCAAGATTTAATTTAATTTATGTATTTTAATTTGTTTTAATTTAAATAAATTTGTATAATAAAATAAAATTTTATTTAATTTTTCTTAAATTTTTTTCATCCAATTTTTTCTAATTTCAATTTATTTTAATGTTTTAATTTGATTTAAATTGTTTTATTTAAATTAAATTTAGTTAATTTTAACTTAGCTCTATTTAATTTAATTTTCTTTTATTCATTTGAATTTCATTTAATGTGTTCTTATTTAATTAAACTTCATTTCATTTAATTTAGTTTAATGAAATTTTATTTAGTTTTTTTTTTTTTTAATTTAATTCACTTTTAAATTAAGTTAAACTTAGTGTACTTTCAGTTTAGTTTATTTTATTATATCATTTTATTTTACCTTTATTCGTAATCCTGCCGCAAATATAAAAAAGTGCTCATACGCCTCGTGTTACCAACAGAAGGATATGTAACAAATGCCATCAACAAAATTCTCGCAAACATTCGCAGATATCACGAAAGATTATGACACTCGTAATTTGCCTGCAGTGTATTTAGTTTAAATTATTTTATTGCTGTTAATATGTATATTTTCATATAGCACATATATATGTATGTACTGCATATGCATATGTTGGACATAGCCGCAGCTAAGCAGGCATTTACAAATACAAATAAATATGAATGCATGTACATATGTATGTATGTCGACAATCACACACAATGTTGGTTATTAATGTTGACCGTCAATTATGTTTTAATTGTCATAAAAGCTTTCACCCAGATGACACATACAAATACCGACTCACATACATATATATGAACATATGAATAAATGCTTACATGTATATTTATGTACATACATACAAACAAATTTTATATACATATATGCATTTGCATATCATTCCATCCCCCATACTGGACCACCACACTCAAAGTGGTTGTGGCATAGAGGTAGACAGACGCTGGCATTTGCGGCATCACATCATTACCCTTCCTACTGAAAATCCATTGCCACTTTACTCAAACATGTGCTTGCACCACCGCACTTACCTTCTCACCAACTGGTTGCCATTTTTGTTGAGCCTTTTCGTTGGTGTGGCGAGAATTGAATTTGTGGAGCGGGTGAGTGCATGGTTTTTGTTGTCAGCGGAAAGTGCAAACAATTAAATCCAATGGGATAAACCAGTTGAGTGGAGTTGAGTTGAGTTAAGGGTCTGAGCCGGCAATGTTGCAGACTGGCAAAAGCATACATTCATATGTTTGCATTAAAAGGTTCATATGCCAGAGTACAAATAGTACATATGTGGGTGGGTGGGATAAATCTGCCACTTGGTCATTTGGGTGACAAAAAAATTAAAAATAATATTTTGCTGCATTCAGCAACAAAATGGGCACTCTTTCCATAATTGTATGCCTGCAACCTGGCATACCAAAGTGACCGAAATCAGGGTAGAAGCAAAAAGTTAATTTTTAATAAAGAATATTGAAAAGTATATGCAATTTTGAAATTGAAATAAGCAATTGACTATAGATTATGGCTTTTTATTCTATATGACTAAATATAAGGCAAAAGGAGCTTTGGTAATCGAAGAAAATTATTAGAGTTTTTACGGACGAGGGAAGTAGAAACAACTGAAGTATTCTTTATCAACAGACTTCAAAATATTTAGAAAGCTTGAGGACCCGCAAGTGGCTTTGAAATGGGCCAACCCTGGCTTAGACGACTGATGCCCAGGGCCTTCGAGAGAAAACTCGTGCCCCGGACTAAAAAATCACGGGCCCCTAGACATAAATTGTATCAATTTAAAAGCATGTGAT